AAGGAACTGTGTGCAAATTATGAAGACTCTTGCTTGGATCCTCTTTGAAAGTTTTAGACCAGGGCTACCTTACACAGAATTGGTCATTTTACTGCCAGGATATTTCTGTGTAATTTCATTTATTGGCTAAAAAAAATTGATGTTGGAAGATGTGATATTTATATTGGGTTTTGTCCATTATTATCAAGATTATAATCTTAAAAATCATACCGGTCACTGATAGCTTAATTTATCCTGAGGCAATTGACTTGCCAAGCCTAGGATAATGCCACTCAATGGTTTACATTTTGGGACACCTCTTAAGTGTGTAGTACTGCAGTTCAAAGTGTTAATATTTAGAGGGACTTCTAGATTTTATGCATAATGCAGTAGAACCTTGAAGTATATTTAAGCTATTTTGTTTAGCTTGAACAGTTGGCAAGAAAAATGTGAGTTCCTATCTGAAATAGAATGGTACATTACCACTTTTAAGTTTTAAAAAGTGATAGACATTCAGATGCATCTCAAACTCAATTTTATTTTTATTTCAAACGTCGTGAATGAGAAGCCATCATAAACTTTGGCCATTTTTGCCCTAAGGACATGCATCTTTAAGTTATAAAGGTGAATCAAACTATGTAATACAGTATTAGGAGATAAGCTTTGCTTTTATAGTATAGTTAAAACAATTACTTTTTTGCACCGTCTTTATTGAAACTTTTGATTTTTACTAGTTGTGTTGCTTTGCAAAAAACTTAAATATTTGGCTGCATTGCTAATATTTGTAAGTATAAGTTGCTTCAAGGTTGTGCTGAAGAGTAGATAGGATGTAGTGGTCTTAGTGATCGAAAGGGAGGGTATTTATTATACAAACTGTGAACTGCAATGACATCCTTAGTTTTGGATGATGTGTATTCTTGTTTTTCTTTGCAGCATTTTAATGAAGATTGCTTTGAAGTGTTTACGCAGTAGCACATTTACTATAAAATTTAGTTTAGCACAGTGGACAAAAGAAGTTAAATTAATAACTTAAAATCAATCTCTAATTTATACATTTAAAGTCTAGCATTCCTGTATGCATACAGTAAATATGGGTAGCCTGGGCTCTTTGTTGCTTTCTGACATTTTTATCCAACTTGTCAGCTTCTTATTGCTGTGTTGTGCTAAACTTTGAACTTTTTGTCTTTTGTCAAAAATCAGTACCCTTTTTATAATTTAGTAAGATACTGGCCATAATCTTCCATTGCTAAAACTTTAATTTTCACTCTGGGTTTACAGTGGCTGGTCTGTATAAATAATTTACACAAAGATGACTGAATGCTAATACCAGTTGCACTTAAATAAACATGCCCATTCTCATTAGCTGATGCAGTAATATATTCAGTTTATCTATGCATTGCTGGGATCTTGATATAAGATGGAAACAGTGTTTCTTATCTAAAGTTTTGATTATCAGCAAGTTGAATGGACACTTTAGTTATTTAAATAAAGATTTTTGACCAAAATCCAGAAAATGATATGAGAGAAAAATAAATTCCAGCTAGTTTAATAGATTTTTTAATGCCAATCTGATTTTAGCCTCTTAGAGAGTGCTAACTAGCTGGTAACGTTTACTTTTAATTCCTTGTTAAAATGAGGCAATAATTTGCAAGATTTTTGTATATATGTGTAAATCCTTCATATCTTTTTAGATCTAATTCAATATTTTCTGACTACTTCTGCCATGTATAATACCATTTTTGTGCATGCTTGATGTGACATTCATAAATTGTACCACTATGACTTTAGCCATGTAAAATAGCTATTTATTGAATTTCCTTTTAAAAGCTGGATTTACTGGTTTTTTTCTTTCTGTTTAAACATCTTAACAGAATTTGTTACTGTTTATTAAAAGAATTGCATTTGAAAACATGAAAATACCTGGTTAGCGATCATATGAGGAAACAATACCTTTATTATTAAGTGTTAAGCACAATTCTTATAACAAACTGTGATAAATTCTTGGGTTTTTTTTTTTTCCTTTACCACATTATTTTCATATGAACAAACCAAAAATTCATGGTGAGAAATTGCAGTGTTGGCTGATACATCTTTTATGTACAGGGAATTTGAAGAGAATGGTGGATTCATTTAGAAGTGTAACTGGTGCTGTGATTATAGCAATACTTTTGTTAGTCGTATTTCAGATTTTCCATGCTAGCTTTTTAAATGTTTAGTTTTCCTCTTGTCATGGTCAACTGCTGAATTTACTTGAAGGATGTAGAATACTGTTTTAAAAAAAGAACTAAAGTCTGTACAATTAGGTCAAAGAATTGTGCAATCATTTCCTTTTAATTTTAAAATTGAGGGGCATAAATATTTGAGAACATCAATCTAATGGAGCATAGTGATATATATAATATAACCAAAGTTTCTAGTAAATATTTCAACTTTGAATGTAAACTAACAAATAAACCTGACCACCAAGGAGAATGTTTGCCCAGAGTTTCAAAGCACATTGCCTACAAATGGAAATTGAAATAATTTATAAAAATATTGACATTACTATGTTTTTTAAGAAGTTCCTGATTTTTTCACTAAAAGGAGGAACCTATTAGTTTTGTTAAATATGGTAGATATTAATATTCCTCTTAGATGACCAGTGATTCCAGTTGTCCCAGTTTGAAATAAGTACCCCATGAATATGAGATAAATTAGTGACAATCAGAACAAGTTTTAGTATCCGGTATTCAAGAGGAATGCTATGTTGCATTGATTTTAATATTTGTACATAAAACACTGATTTTTTTGAGCATTATTTTGTATTTGTTGTATTTTAATACCTGGTGTACAGTTCCAGAAATAAAAATCTGGAAATCTTTTTTTTTTCTTGGTTTGTGTGAATATTTGCCAAAATTTTCCATGAATCTTTAACATATACCAAATGGGTAGATGTTGTACCAGTTTAAATTGGTTTTAGATGTAGTGACTAATATATGATAGGTAAGTAATAAAAGTTCATTGGGTTTTTAAAATCATCTGTAATAGCTTCCCATCTATAATAAAATTGTAACCATCTCAAAGTAAGGATTTCTGGTTTAGTTTAGGAAATATTTACTAAATGTTTGTTATGTTTCAAACACAGTTCTAGGCAGTTGTCTTTTTGGAAGATACGGTAGGTACTTGAAATTTGATTAGATACTGTGATTTGACAAGATGATAATATTTATGGTCGGGGGCTGGGGATTTAGCTCAGTGGCATAAGCGCCTGGCTTGCAAGCAGGCAGTCGTGAGTTCGATCCCTGGTACCGATAAAAACAAAAAAGACAAAAAAAAAATTTATGGTCAGATATCTATATTATCAGTAGTTTCATCAATTATCATCTTTCCTAAAGTCTTTTTCAAACTAGATATGCTATTTAGCTTAATACCATACTTTGGTCCCCATATTTCATTTGCTTTTTCTAAGCATTCCCTGGTTCCATTTTTAACTTATAATGATCAGTCTGCACATATATTCAGATTTTGTAAAATTCCAAGAAAGGGACAAAATGAAAGTAAAAGCCTCATCTCTTCTGCTTTGGTTACCTGTCTAAAACCAGATTACTTAATTCTTAGAAACCAAAGGATCTTACTGTGAGGAATCTGGATAGCCACATGCACAGAAGCACCACAGCTAATTTGAATACAGCCAAGAATGCAGTTAAATGCCATATGAGAACTAATAGTACTTTAGGCTTTAAGGGACAGAAAAGAACCCTCGTGGAAGCAGAACAGTCTCCAGTAACTTCATTGACACCACTGCCAAAATGACTATTTGGCTTCCCTGTTTCACTCCTGGAACTTATTAATTGTATATCTGCTGTAATGTAAATGTAAGCTTTCTGGTCATAATTACTAGAGAAATAGGCAAGTAGACTGGGGAGTACTGGTCAGAGTAGAGGACTAGATTTCGGTAAGGATGGTAAGTGAGGTGATTCTGGGGAGGACTTCTGCAGGCAGAGAATGAATCCCCCAAGGCAGGCATGCTGCAATGGAGTGAACAAAAGAATAGGTGAGACCTGAGGCAGTACGCAGCTAGCTTAGGTTCTAAATGTATCATCTGACTTGCATTTAAAATAATCGCTTTTGGGGGGCTACTCTGTCATGGCAGGAGTAAAGCACAGAAGCCAATCAGGAAGCTGTTGGCATGGCAAATAAGGTAAAATGAAATAACAGTGAGGGGGGGTCAGAATCTATGCTGCTTCCATGATTTGAGGGGCCTAACAGCATCTTCCTTCTGACTCATGTTTGGAACTGTTAGTTGGTACAAGTCAGGTGAGTGAGGCAAAAGTTAACTATTGCTAATACAATTCTAGGGGAGTTAGAGCTCCAGCTGGCCTGGCTTGCTTAATGCTCCACCTTTGGACTAAACATTCACTATCTAGGCTGGCTGCAAGCTTCTTCCAGCTCAACCTAGGGCACATTCTTTCTACTGCAAAGTAGGGGCTGCAGAGAAAGAACTAGGGGGATGTGGGCAATGAAGTGTCTAGTTCAAAAATACTCTCCGAAAGTCACTTCTCCAGTGCATGGAGAGGCTAGGAGCATATCTAATGAAAGTCTTTGCACAAAAACATGAGAGATGGAAAGCAGGTTCTTCCTCCCACTATCCTTTAATTATATTCCCATACTAAAACATCTCTTACAGTGAGTAAAGAGGAAAATGACATGTTTTGCCCTTATGTAGGTATAACAATCTTTAGGTTATATATAGACATCAATTTACTCATGACAACACTACATACTTTTTATTCTGTAAAACTAAATGTTTTTACAGAAATTTGTACACATCAACATAAGAATTGCTGGTGTTTGCCTAAAATTTTATAAATCTGAGGTAGACAAAAGTTACAGTGAGTAGTCTGTTTTAATAAGCCAGTGTGTATTTAGGTATTTAGGTGAAAACCATTTAAACTGCAATTGCATTAAAAATTTTGAAATTGTAATGAAACAAGTCACTTTTACCATGAAATTGGAACATAACTATAATACCAATAAAATAATTCTTATTTCAATTAAGTTCCAAAATATTTATTCAGCAGGTGAAATTCAAAATGATTTACAAAAGAACCTTTTAGAGTTAACTCAATATGGTAGCTAAGTGGAAAACCTAATTTCTAATTCACCAAACTAGCTGACAATTGTGTAGTAGTTTGAAAACAGCTCTTCTCCTTGCTTGATGTCTCTCAATGCAACAAGAACAACACATCGAAGTGGGCTGAAAAGAGAAAAATGTTAAAACGGTAGCATCTTAACAAATACAACCTCATATTTTTAATATAACTAACGTGGATTTTTATAAATAGTTTTCTCTCTACTTAAGATTCCTTACTTTGTTTTTTGTTTTTTCAGTAGGGGGATTGAACTCAACCTTCTGCTTGCCAAGCAGGTGCTGTGCTGCTGAGCTATATCCCCAGCTCAGATTCCTTACATTTTAGTATGCATCTTCAATTTCCATGAGGAAATAGTTACCTTCCCTATACAGGTACAGTATTTAAAGTATACTGTATGAAACAATTTGAGTGACTACCCTTAACTGCATTATAATGCTGCAACACTAATTATATTGAGGCTTATTTCCATATACTGATACATACAGAGCTGATAATGGCATTTCCTTCTCTCTCCAGTTGGTTCTAATCATTGCAAATAAGGCTGGCTGAGGTACTGATATGTAATCTCTAAAACCATCAGTCTCCTGCTCCCTCACATAGTGGTCTCTATAAATGACATAAATACAAAGGGATGGCTGAGCTAGTCAGCTCCAGAAATGTCAACTGAGTATGAGCCTCGAGATAAAGGGACTATGAGTCCCCAGGACATGAAAGTTTACATATCAGAAACTGAAACAATGACCTCCAAAAACAAGTCAGTAGCTACCTTAATTGTATTATGCAAATTGATCGTTCTGCATATTGTTAACCCTACATTTTGCAAAGATGCTTTTCTCCCCACCTGACTAGCCAACTCCAGTTGTCTCACTATCAATCATCCTTGAGCCACACCCCTTTTTACAAGACAATAAATTCTGGGAGAGACCTTGGATCAGGGTCTTTGTCAGAATATTCTCTCAGGGATTGGGTTTAGGACTCCTTGGCTGCCCTTAATGTTGAATATGTCTTGGTGTCTTTACTCTTGCCAGTTGCACTGAGGTGCTAGACAGGAATTAAGTTGCCAGGATTCCAATAATATTTCAATGGATCACAAATACAACTTTGTGGATTGTGAGGAAGACTGGAAAAGGGACTACAATACTTGGATTACCATACTCAATATTTGGGATTACAATAGTGGATCTGTTCTTTGTCACTTAAATAGAACACAAATCAGTGAGTTTATGTAACCAACCACCTCTTCTGAAAACACTTTCCGTGGGGTCCCAAAACTGGAGTTTTAAAGAGATAGTTTTATAAAGAGATTACAGTTTTACACTCTTTTATTTGTATTTCATATTCTGAAAGAAACATTTAAAATTAGCTGGAATTTTTAAAAATACTTTTTTGGGGGATACAACAAGACACTGTTACATGTACCTTCAAAGTTCTAACAATACACCCCAGAGTATATAGCTAAGAAAATCTAATTGCTAGCAATTCAGAGGGATGACATAAATAATGATGGTATCTTCCTACAGCACTTTTTATTACTAAAGAACTCTTAGGGCTGGGGATTTAGCTCAGGGCATAAGCACCTGCCTTGCAAGCGTGTGGTCATGAGTTCAATCCCTGGTACCAGTAAAAACACACACAAAAAAGAACTCTTAATAAGGTTCCATGATGGCTGATCAGGTGGCAGAAGCAAGAGAGGCTCCAGAGGAATTCAGGTATACTGAGCCATGGGCAATAGAGAAAGCCGGATATGGGAAAGTACATGGAAGGAGAAACTTGTTAGATCTAAATCCAGTATCACAGGGCTTTAGAAAGGGAAGCCAGTCCACTCCTGGACCACAGCACATCTTACACCCTAGCTCAGGCATCTGCACCATTTTAGGAGATGATCTGGCACTGTGAGTGAGCCACTGAACTAGGCTCCTAGCATTTCCACCAGGAATAGGAACAGGCATACCACAGCACCAGAAAAACTAAAAGCCAGTGAGCAGTGTGTGAGAAAGCACCAGTAGGTCCTTGGGAAAGCTGAAAATAACTGCATAATTCTGACGGGATCAAGATCTGAGCATTGGGAAAAACCATGGCCAGGGGACTATGTGAACAGGCAGCATCTTGTGAACAGTAAAACCTTGGGGACCAAAGTGACCAGACTGCCTCAGGAATAGGCACATGCCTGTTCTTCCCCCAAACTTGACAAATGTTGTGCACTCACAACATCCTAATCATTGCCAACATGCCACTGTCAGATGCCATCATGGGAGGTCCCACTACTTGTTGCCTAGGGAGGCTGAGTGCAGAAAAGTGGCACTTTGGCCAGAAGGAGTCTGACAATGTGACTGGTGTACAGATTGTCAAGGGAGAATAGGTACAGAGGATGGAGCAGGGATTCAGGGGGCTCTGGCAGAACTGGGTTCTGTGTCAATCACATTGTACCCTCTCCTTCTGGAATTAATCGAGCAGGTCAGACATTGGGACAGAGGCAAAAGTCTACAGTTAGACACGCTCCAAATGGCTTCCAGCAGGGAAACAGATTTAACTATTGGAATCAGCAAGCCTTTTCACTCACAGGCACACAACAGGGCAAATCACAGGGGGAACAGTTTGAAGACCTGTAGTAATAAGCACACTCGAGTAAGGATGAGGGGACAATGAGCCAGACCTAGAAATCCATCTAGACCCTCCTTCCTCACTACGTTAAAGCTTCCCTATGTGCGAATGTGGGGAGAAAAGCAGTCCCCTAGACTGAAATAAAAATGGGACTGCAAGGATGCTTTGTGTTTTTGCAACTGCATGGGGCTTTTATTTTTTTTGTTGTTGTTATTGTTACCGTTTCTTCTCTTTTTTCTTCTCTTTTCTATTTCTTTATCTTCTTCTTCCTTCTAGTATATATGTGTGTGTGTGTGTGTGTGTGTGTATATATATATATATATATATATATATATATATTACCTCATACATATTATCAGATCACAGTACAATGAAACTAGAAATTAATGGCAAGAGAAACCACAGAAATTATGTAAACACATGGAGAACAAATAATATATTCTTGAATAATCAATGTCACAAATTAAATGAAAGGAAAAAATAAAACATTTCCTAGAATCAAATGATAATTCCAGTATAATACACAAGAACCTATGAAACACAATAAAAGCAGTTCTAAGAAGGAAGCGTATAGCTATGAATGCCCACATCAGAAAAACAAAACAATCCCAAATAACCTAAAGATGCACCGCAAGGCCTTAGAAAAACAAGAACAATCCAAATTCAGAAATCAAAAGAGAGTGGGGGCTGGGGATTTAGCTCAGCGGCATAAGCACCTGCCTTGCAAGCAGGCGGTCGTGAGTTCGATCTCCGGTACCGATAAAAATGAAAAAAAAGACAAAAAAAAAAAAAAAAAAAGAGAAATTAATGAAATTGAGACTAAAAAAAAATATAAAATAATGAATTGATGAGCTGGTTCTTCAAAAGTTAAACAAAATAGACAAATTCTTAGCCAAACTTACCAAAAGAAGGAAAGATAAGGCCTATATCAATACAATTAGAAATCAAAGGGCAAAATCAGAAAGAACGTCTCAAAACCCAGAGCATTATAGTAATTACTTAAAAAAGTTGCATGTCAATAAATTGGAGATGCTAGAATACATGGAAGGATTATTCTAGAGGCATATAAATTACCAAAATGAAATCAAGAAGACACAAGATAGAACAGTCCAGTAAAAAACTATCAACTAAGACTAGCCCAGGACCCAATGGATTCATTGCTGAATTGTCCAAGAACTTGAGGGAAGATCTAATGTCAGTATTCCTCAAATTCATCAATGGAATTAGCAGAGAAGGAGTATTGCCAAACTCATTCTTGGACACTAGAATTACCCTGATACTAGACAAGTGTCATGGTTTATGTCTGTGTCCCCGAGGCCTCATGAGTTTGCATTGTGCATTTGTTATTCGTTTATTGTCTAGTGCTTGGATTGATGGTATCAGTGCTCCACCCACATAGGGGTGGAGCCAGGATGTGATGTAATGGCAGGAGGAAGGTGTGTCTTACTCTTTGCTGGTTCCTGTTTGCTGTTTGCAGCCGCTATAAACTGTGGCCCAGCCATGCTTGCCTGCCTTGGAGCCATCTGAGTGTGGACCGAAACCTCCAAAAACTGTAAGAAACCTTTCCTTTCCCAACTTGGGCTTCAGGTATTTTGTCTCAGCAATGAGTAAAAAGTAACTAAGACAACAAGGAAGGAACACAAGAAAACTACAGGATGATCTCTTTAATAAACATAAATGTGAAGATACTGAACAAGATATTGGCAAAAAGAATACAAATCGTTGAAAAGATCATACATAATGAACAAGTGGATTTCATCTTTGGGATGCAAACATGGTTCATACAAATTAATAAAGATAGTATAATCCCAGTACTTGGGAGGCTGAGGCAGTAAGAACCATGGGGTCAAAGCCAGCCTGGATTACATAGCAAGACTCTGCCTCGAAAAAAACAAAAACATAAATAGAAGAAGAAAAACCACCTGATCATCTCAATAGACATAGAAAAAGCCTTTGACAAAATCCAACATCCACTTATGATTAAAAAAATTGAAAAGGACCTTATAAAATCCATTTAGGACAAGTCTATTGCTGATATCATACTAAATTTCCCTGAAAATCAAGAATAAGACAATATTGTCTACCATTTCTGCTCAATATAAGTACCTGAAAGTTTAGCCAGAGTAATAAGGCAAAGGAAAGAAACAAAAAGAACATATTCTGGAAAGGAAAAGGTCAAACTATCTATATTTGAAGATAATATGATTTAGAAGATCCAAAAAAGTCAACTAAAAGACCCATAGAACTAATAAATAAATTCAGCAAAAGAGCAGGATACATACAAAAATCAGTATTCCTAATGATGAACACACTGAGAAAGAAATCAAGAAAACAGTACCACCCATAAAAGCTTCAAAAAAACTAAATACTTAGGTATTAATTTAAATAAGGTGAAAGATCCCTGCAACAAAAAATATAGTACTCTGAAAAAGGAGACTGAAAGGGACCTCAGAAAATGGAAAGACAATCTTGTTCCTAGAACCAATACTGTCAAAACTAATACTGTTTAAAATGGCCATAAACTGACATTGAGACTTATTGTAATTTCAGTCAAAATACCAACAGTGTTCTTCACAGAACTGGAAAAAACCACCCTAAAATTCACATAGGACCACAAGAAACCCAGAAAAATAAAAGTAATCCTAGGCAACAAAAGCAAAGATCACAATTCTAGATCTTAAGCTATATTACAAAGCTACAATGATAAAATCCTATAAAGCTTTGTCTTAGAAATCATATATTTTTAAGTACAGCATAAGATAGAACATACAAAAATGCTTTTTCAGAAAACTAACCTTTGTGTGTCATAGCTGTAGGCAATGTTTGGAAGATACTGCTTTAGTTCTATAGGGAAAACTGCAGGCACTTCAAATTCCTGGTAACAGACATTAGCTGCTCTGTCTGTGAACAAGGATATAATTTTTAGAATAAGGTTCATGTATGAGGTCATGGATTGTAACACCTGAATGGTAACATTTGATGTATGTTTTTCTAAATTAAATTTCTAAATTGAATATGCCCAAATAAATAATTAGTATTACATTCCAGACAATATTGGATTTTATATATTTACATCCATCTCTAACTTAATGATAAACAATATATATAATAAAATAACACCAAAGATAAATTAAAAAGTATCTGTGTTTACATATACAAACCTATATAATAAGCATATATATTGTTTTATTGTTTATTTCTTAAGATTCAGGAAATAGAAATTCAGAATGGTTAAAAGTTAAATAAAGAACTCAAGGATTTAAAAGTTCACATCTCCCTAACATCAAAAGACTACATACTAACTATAGTCAGATGATCAAACTTTTACCTACAGAAAAATCAAGTCTCAAAAAAGGCATATTACTCACAAATTTAGCAACAAAGGCTGTGTTAGCCTAGTGATTAACTTAGGATAAGGCTATTTCAAGACATTTATAAAATAATCTCTATTAAAAATGCTTGTCATGGTTTATGTCAGTGGCCTCCCCAAGCTTCATGGAATTATGGATGGGATCAAATCTAGTGCCTGTGATTGATTTATTGTATAGCGCTTGGATTGGTAGTATAAGTGTTTTACCTGCCCAGCGTGGAGCCTTAACAGCTGGTTAAGCTCTTTGAATAGTTGAGATGCTACTCAACAGTTTTTGATAGTCATATGGCAAAGGAAAATTATCCATTACTGTACCTCATCTCACATCCAACTTACCATTTGAACAATTGTTGACATACTGTCCAATAGCCAGTGGATTATGAATTTCTGATGTTAGCCATGTAGCATCACTCATTTTTAAAGGGCCAAGCCGATCTCTTCCACTGCAAGATCTAAAATAGGCAAAGATATTAGCTAAAGAACTGTTTTGAATGTTAAAATAGAACTAACAACAATTAAACTAAACTAGTATGCTTTCTCTTTTAAAATTTTTTGTGTAATCAATCAGAAAACTGAGAAGCCACCTAATTGACTTTTAAAATTAAAGTTCAAATGTTCTTAGACTAGAATCACATGACAAGTGTGGTTCTGTATCCTATAATTAAATTTGGGTATGGGCATCACTTACCTGTATACAACTTTTGATATTCCTTTGTCATTTCCATCAATGAGTGTTCCATCCAGGCATCTAAAAATAAATGGGTTTCCAATGGACTGGAAAAAGATCGGCTCATACTTCTGATATACTGTACCTATTATATAACAAAATAAAGACATATAGCTCAAGTAAAAACTGAAAACTGCAACCCCAGTGTGGTGGTGCACACCTGTAACCCCAGCACTCTACAAGATTGAAGGAGAAGGATCTAAATTTCAGCCCAGCCAGAGCACTCACTGAATGAGTCTCTGTCTCAAAAATAAACAAACAAATAAATAAATAATTTAAGTCTGGGGATATACTGAAGGCTCTTGGTTCAATCCCCTGTGCTGAAAAAAGAAATCCAAATAAAGACCTTTCTCTGGAACATAAAGATGTACTCGAAAAATACATTTTAATTCCTCTATCCCTTTTTAAATATTTTACCTCCAACATAGAAATCACATTCTCTTAGGTTACTTTTCTCCTTTAAAGAGTCTGTGCCCAATAGCAGATGGAACATACAACCAACTATCCACACAGGAGAAAATATGCTTCATTTGCTTTATGACAATATGAACATTATATTTTAAGTTCAGTTTTACACCACACATATGTTTTAAAAACTGAGTGTGATATGACATCAATGAAGTCTTTTACAAATGTATCTTATTAATAAATAATATAGATATATCTCAAGCTGTTTCTTTCTTTACTCAAAGGAAGAAATGAGGAAATTACATTTATAAGGTGCTTCCTATTTACCAGCCATATTAATGTATTTATTGAATTTATTTTAGTATTATTTTGTTTTTTTGGCTTAACACTGAATCTTCACAGAGTTAGGTTAGCTGTAGAAAAGTTTTACAGTTGCTTAGGAATATAAAATAAAACAGAATGACTTTTTAACAGCATATGTCATCTAACACAAACATTTACAAACACACACACACACACTTTCTACTACACCAAATAACAAGGTTAGTATAACAAATAACATATTCTAATGAATACTGTAGCCAGTGATCTTTGGCAAAGAAGCTGCTTTAAGTTGTAAATGTAGAAAAAGCAGGAAAGTATTAAGTTATTTAAATCCTTTCATGTTTTAACTCATCCCTTTTTAATCTTTATCAATTAAGCCAAACTGACTTACTCTCTAATGCTTTTAAGAAAGTTACAGGAAGCTATACTGGGTTCTAAATTTAACTAGTGATTCAATAAAATATTTCCTTAAAAAAAGAAAAATGCATTTATTCCAATAAATACTCCAGGATACTTTCTAACAACATAAAATATAAATATTTAATTAACAAATTCAAATTTTTAAAAATCTATAGAAAACTGAGTTTCTAGTTCAATTCTTTAAAGATTAGAGGGCTAAATATTATCACTATACAAGGAACTCTTGTCAGTACTAATTTGAACTGTTACCAGGATACATAGACACAACTGCGCCTTTTGGTACCAAGCCTTTAGTAACGAAGACACCTCTTCCTGCAGAAATCAGCGAGCTAGTTGCTCGGGCAACACTGAAACCCAATGTCTTATAAAGAATTTCTTCTGGTTTAAAAATATTTTGCAGTTGATGTCTATTTTCAAGCAGATTCACCCTGTGATGCTGAAGTGCCAGTAGATCTTGATATTTTGACTTAACAGATTGTGGAAGTAGGGTCAAGATGTCCGATTGTTTATTGAGATCGTTTAAGAATAAAGCCTGGAAAACTTCCAGTAATGTTTCTAGGACATCTTCATCTGAGATAACTTTGTCTTTGGATTCCTCTGGAACATATCGAAGGGTCCTGAAAATGGGAAAAGTTTTCATTCACTACCTTTCAATTGATAAAAGCCACTCATCCTTTCTGAATTACTGGTTTTAATAAACTGTAGGATTGTCACGTTGTGTTTGAAGGGTATCACACTAAGAAATTCCATAAAGAATTGAGGTGTAGCTCCAGGAACCTAGCTTCCAACAATGCCCATGCAAGCAGCCAACGTTTATGAAACGTTATGAAAGCAGCCAACGTTTATACCATATGTTGTGGGCTACTTACATAGTTAACCCCTTTCTGCAAAGAAGCAGCCTTGCATAGATGTTCAGAAACTTGCCCAACGCCCTAAATCTGCCAAGTGAGAATTAGATGCAGAATCAGCTCTTTCCCTCACCCAAAACAGCCTCTTGAATGTTATACCTAAGGAGAAGCCTCACACTGTTTTTTGTATAAGGTTGTAGTTTCAAAGATAAATTTAACATTATATCCTTGTGGCATCCCGTCCCAGATGAACTTCTTTAACGACTTTTATTTCCATAACTATAGTATTTTTTTTTGTAATTGTATTTTTACTTCTGAATAAAAATGGAGCAAGTCCTAAAACCCTCACAGTTCTATAGTAATGATGAATCTGAATTCACATTTCTGTTAGTATGAAACTTAAGTTTCAGAAACTGGCCTTCTGCAGACTAATCTACTTGGTGAGCAGTGCGCTGACTTCTTGCACCCTCGAGCGTGTGGCCACTACAGTCCCCAAGGCGACCCACCAGTGGGTCAGATGCAGAACCATGTCTAACACTAGTGCTTTCAGTTGCTTTTTGCACGTTTCTGTGTGTTAGCTACTCCAAGCTGTTATCCTCACAGCCCAGCTGGGTTTTCAATACATAAATTACTTCTAAGAAGCTGTGAAAATAAAGCTTGGCTTTTTTGAGGAGGTTCAAACACCTAACTGTGCCTTGGCAGAGAAAAGGCCTGTTGTCACTCAGTAAAATAAAACACTTGGAGTTTCTGAGTTTTTATTGCACAAATGCTAAGGTCAGGCAATACGGTCCGCAGAAAAAACACCACCACACGCGGAAAACCCCAGCCTCGCAGGCTTCCAGGAGCAAACAGGTCCCGCCCACCTAAGGCCACCACTGCCTTCAAAGACTTCGCAGCCCCAGACTTTGCCTTGCCCCTCTGCTCCGCCCACCGCAGGCCCCATCTGCTCCGGACTCCCAGATCTTCTAGTTCCGCCCTCGACGAATAGGCCCCGCCCTCCCCGGGCCCCGCCCGCCCCCTGCAGCCGGCTTCCCCGCCTTAGGCCCGCCCACTCAGGTCCCGCCTCTGGCCGCCTGCGCCTCCTCTGTGTCCGCGGCGCCACAATCTCTTGGCCCGGCCACAGTGGCGGCGTCAGGGTCTGAATGAAGGAAGATATGTGCTTGGAGCGCCCTCTCACCTCGGGTTGTGGCTCAGATTCAGCGCGATCCAGGGAACGAAGCGGTACTTGTAACGGCTCCACCGCTGCCACAGGCCCCGCAGCAGGCGGCCGGGCATGGCTGCCCGCGGCCCCGTGACCGAGGCGGGCGCGGGTGCGGTCCCGCCCTGCCGGGGAGGAGCGGGGACCGGGCTGTCCCGCCCTCCGCGCCCTCCACCCGGCGTCGTTCTCGTTTTACCGACCCAGCTTGCTGAAAGTGAGGCGCGCGGAGGCAGGGCTTGCTATTCGCCTTTCCTTTTTCCGGCTCCCGTGCGGGGTCGCGCACACGGGCGCCACGGTTCGTTCGTTCGCCAAGCGCCGTGGCTTTGAGCCTCTAGCCCGCGCCAGGGAGGCGCCCTCCCAGCTCCTTGGTCGCCAGCGCCTCGCGTGCCCTGTGTTCCGCACCATCCCCCGACCATCTGTCTTCTCCACTGCCTCCAGCAGCCTGAGTTCCTGAAGTTTCAGTCCCACTGGGAATGTCAGGCTCTTCAACGCGTCTTCCAAAAAGTCACCCGTGTGAGGGATTTGCAAATATCTAACCATGAAAGAACAAAACATGGTAACGCCCCTTTGTATTCTAGGTTTCTCTTCATTCTCACTAGCAACCGAAGGCAAAATTAAAGGAAAAAGACAAAAAAAAAATTACATAGGCAAAGAATTTTATTTTTATTTTTTTTTGCTATCGGAGATCAAACTCATGACCTTGAGTTTGTCAAGCAGGCACTTATGCCACTGAACTAAATCCTAGACCCTAATATTTATCTTTAAATCAGCTAATTGAGGTATAGTTGGTATATGATTAAACTGCACATTTTTAAAGTGAACAGTTTATCTTTTTGACATACGTATACATCCCTGAAACTCTTACCATAATCAAGATAGTGAACGTATCTATCACTCCCAAAAATTCCTTTATGACTTTCTGAAGCCATCTGATCCTGCCCCAACATCCACCATTGATTCACGTTCCTGACAGTAAGTGAGTTTGATCATGATGCATTACCCGTTTAATAGTTTCTGGATTTATTTGGTAAAATTTTGTTTAAAATTTTGTATCTGTGCTCATGGATGATACTGTTTGTAGTTTTCCTTGTTTAATGTTAGTCTTAGTTGTTTTCTTGTTGCTGATACAAAATACCTGACACCCAAAGTTAAATGAGGCAACAGGTTACAGTTTGTAGAGGTTTCAGTCCATCGTGGGCTGGCACTAAGGCAGGGTGGCATGGCAGAGGAGAAACAATTCTGGGTAAAGCAGACAAGAGGCAGCAAGCAATATCTGGGACCTGGTCTAGATCCCCAATGTCCCAAAGTCTTAAAATAAATGAAATAAGTGGTATGATTTTAGGGCTCCAGGAGGATCAAAATCCTTTGCAGGGTTCTTGACCCTGGTGGCTAAGACAAGGAATGTCTCTAGGCAGCTGTGTTTATTTGGTATTGGAGTGAAATGCCTCCATTACAGTCATTTAGTTCATTGGAGTTGGAGCCAGGTGTCCTCAGCAGTGGCCTTATCTTTCCCTTTGAGGCATCTCTTTGTTCGCAGGTTGGCCTCTCCCTGACCATTCAAGTGTTTCCGATTGCCAGTTTCAAGGGCTCCCAGCAAAACAACCAGCAGCCTGCCAGCAAGTAACAAGCAGCAGCCTGCCTTTTCTGTCCCTTTACAGTCCGTAGAGTCTACAAGCTTATTGGTTGGTTCCACCCACCTTATGGTGCCCAGGGTGGGACTTACCATATACTAATATCATCATACACTTAGTCTACATTCACACATCCTAATCCAGCCGCCTTTGAAACTCCTCACCTGTGATGCACAAGGCCTTGGGGAAGTATCCAGAAATAACCATACAATGCCTTGTATCAATTTTGACCTTTAAATTAACTAGCCTCAGAGGAAGATGTTAATTAGTGCCCCTTTAGTGAAATTTGAAAGGATTTCCAGTTCATCTTCCCGACACACACACACACACACACACACACAATTCAGACAAAACTCACTCCCAATAGGGACAAACTACAAGACTCTCTTAACCATATTCGAATCAACACATGTTTATTAAGAAATAAATATATTAGTGCCTTTTTCTTCAGACTGGAAGGTTAACTTCTTTGATTTTTTTTTTCTTTTTTTTTTTTTTTTTTTTTTTTGTCTTTTTCCTTTTTATCGGTACTGGGGATCGAACTCACGACTGCCTGCTTGCAAGGCAGGTGCTTATGCCGCTGAGCTAAATCCCCAGCCCCAGCTTCTTTGATTTTGCATGAAAGTGATGGTGAATCTCAAAGTCAGAATTGTACAGTTTAGATCTAGTGAAAATCCACAGGTGCCAGTGGCCTTAGGAATAATTGATTCTATTCTGAAAGAAAGGGAAAAAATATTCTAATGTCTATTTCGCTCTACTATATATGGTGTTGGGAAACTAGAGACTTTCTCATCTCACTGATTAGTCCATATTTGCTAAATGGAGTTAGTTCAGCTCTAGGATGATTAATAAATGAAGAAAAAGTTGTGTATTTTTTAGTGCTTGTTATTTACGTTATGATAACTTTTATTTAGCTAATACATTCATAAATACAGCATTCTTCTCAGACCAAATGGAAACGTGACCCTAACGTCTCCTTTAAACACTCTGTACTTCACACCGCCACCAGTCCTCTGCAGGCCTGTGGCTTCTGCCAGTCTTCTTTCTATGCATTTATATTCCTGACATGCCCCATAGAACATAGTATTTGCATGAATGTTTTTAAAATAATGCCATAAGTGTCAGCAATTTTTTCTTTAAACTTTAAAACTTGTTTTCCAGTACTGGGGAATGGGCCTAGAGCCTTCATAATGAGCTATCTAGTCAAACTTTTAAATTTTGAGTCCAGGTTTCACTAAGTTTCCAGGTTGAGCTCAAATTTGAGATCTTCCTACCTTATCTTGTTATATTCTGGAAATTACAGGCATGTAGCCCTATGCCAAACTGTGATTTCCCTTATGTACTCAAAAATATATTTTGGAAATCTACCCAGTTAAGTTTGTGCAAGTCTACTTCATCCTTCTACTTCTAAGGTTTCACCTTGCAAGTTTAATGTTTTTTGTAAGTTTCTGGTAGGTATAGTTTATGTAATTTTTTGAAGTTCTATTTATGGCTGTCCAAGAATTTTTATCTGTTTTAAATTTGAAGTGAATGATGTTGGGCGCAGGCGCTCAACATACCATACCCCAGCCGGGACTAAGGACCACGCCAGCTTCCGCAATGCACTACGTTCCTCTTTAAATTAGCCAACCCGTGCGCACCCCGCGCTCTACTCCGTACTCTGTGGCAACTCCTGATTGGCCACAGCTGGATATAGTAGCCAGAGCCTGCATCCCATTCCCGCCCTGCTTCCTTGTGACAGCCTGTGATTGGTCACGGCCAAATATATAAACCAGAGCCCGCGTAAATAAACTAGCAGTTAACTGTCGTCCACAAAAGCGTCTCCTGTCTCCTGTTTCATTGGAGCTGCGCCGGTCAGAATGATGCATACCAAATGCTTTTCTGTGCTACTCACTGGATGACCATATAATTAATTGCCTTCTTCTGTTAATATAGTAAGTTAATGACCCTTTACAAATGTTAAACCATCCTTGGCTTTTGAGATAACTCTACTAAATTAGTTCCTTTTTTGACCAGACTTAGCAGTTTTTTAATTTGTTTTGTTTGTTTGTTTCATACTAGGAATTGAATTCAGTGCCCTAGATTTGCCAACCAGGTGCACTATATCACTGAACTGTATTCCCTGCCCTTTGATAGTTTTTGTATGCTACTGTTGCCGTCCTGTATCTGTTTTGAAGTATGTTTTTGAAGTTTCAGATAGAATTTACCAGTGAAAACATCTGGGCTTGTAGGTTTTTTTTTTTTTTTTTTGGATAATGAATTCAATTTCTTTTAAAGATGTAGGACTCTTCAATTTTTGTTCATCTTATGACAAGTTTTGTAAATTATATTTTTATGAAATTTGTACATTTGTTGTCTAATATTTTGGCATAACTGTTTATACATATTTTCTTACCATCCTTCTAATGCCTGTATTATGTACAGTAATAACCCCTCTTTTGTTCCTGAATTTGGTGGTTTGTATTCCATTTCCTATTAAGCGTGATTAGGAGGTTGTCAGTTTTTTTAAGGAAACAATCTTGACTTTATCAATTTTTCTTGTTTATTTTGTTTTGTGATTTGTGTTCTCATTATTTTATATTTTCCACTCTGTGAACTTATTTTTCTTTGCTTTTACCAGTTTTTTTTAATTTTTTTGTTTTTTGTTTGTTTGAGACAGGGTTTTACTATGCAGTTTAGGCTGGCCTTGAACTCACTTGGCAACCCAGACTGGTCTTGAACTCACAAAGATCCTCCTGCCTCAGCCTCCCAAGTGTGCTTATCAGTTTCTTAAGCAAACTATTCAGTGTCTGATTTTCATCCTTCTCTCTTAATATAAATACCTAAAGTTATAAATTTTCTTCTAAGCACTATTCAGCCAAATCCCAGGAATTTTGATATGTTGTATTTTTATTATCACTCAGTACAAAATATGATAAAATTTCCCTTGTGATTTGTTTTTCAGTCCATGGATTAAAAAATGTTTCTCATTTTCAAATATTTAGGATTTCTAGATATGCTATTATAACTGGTTTTTAATTTAATTCTGGTATAATCAGAAACATGTCTGATTTCAATTTTTAAAAATATATTGACTTATTTTGTGCCTCAGCATGCACTCTCAGTGAATATACCATCTGCTGTCAAAAAATGTATTTTGTCATTGTTTGATTTAGTGTTCTATAAATATTAATTAGGTCATGGTGGTTTATAGTGTCCTTTAGATCATTTGTGTCTTTAATGATTTACATAAAATTTTAAATACAGATGAATAAGGAACAAAAGAGTGGTTGATGATTTTATAATGTAGCATATATTTCAAACAATGTGGTAACACTAGGAAGTCAGGAGATACATTGCTTTCCCAAATTATCCTCTTTGAACTCTATTCCATCACTGGGCAACACCGGCAGGAAACTGCAGAGAGAGGAGAGAAGGGTGGAGGTCTTTGCGAACTGAAAGTATCCTGACAAAAGGTCCTTTTCAAACAGCTTTGTGTTTCTTTTATCCTAGAGACAGTAAGAACACTTCATTATTGGCAGCTAT